ATTGTTCACTTGTGGTTATTCAGAAGCAGTCACCCGCAGTGAAGGAAAAAAAGTAGTTTGCAAACTTACTTTGGGGCAGTTTACAATGTAAAAAGAGTGCTTGCACATCCACATCTGTTATTTCCACACTGCCAGGCAACCCCAAAAGCATTCTGTTAGCTGCTCGATCTGATTGCCATAATCACATTTTGGTGGTTTAGAGGTACTTGAAACAATGTGAAAAAGGACCAAACGCCTCCAGAGGGTTTCCTGGGACCCACATCCCATGGGGGCTGCAGGGCCCACCAGGCTCCTGCCCTCCTGCAGCACTGGCTGAGCACTGCCCACTTCTGCTCTGCCCTTCCTGCAGCGCACCCTTTGCGTGGGTGCTTTTGGCAGAGGATGTGTGAACAATTTTTAAGGCAGACTCTTGTTCTGACATAGCTGTACTAATGCACATTCCCCATTTATTCATGTGAGACAATAATTATTTGAGAATAAAGTAATAGTAAGCTAGATTTTTTCCTTACCTTTTTGGAAAGCAGGCAAAAGCTATACAGTAGGTGGAAGAGTGTACCAAGTAACAGACTTTTGAACACTCTTTCTTACTGGTGGTATGCAGTCTACAGGAAAAGTAAATACATTGGTATGTACAATGCATCTGTTCACAATAAACTCTTCAAATTTTTCCCTGTCATTGGAGCCATGATATTAATCTGACCAAAAAGCTCAGAGGAGAGCAGTACACTGATATATGAAATTAGCTCTGGGCTGGGAATAAAGGAACCAGTCCATAGAAGTTCGGGTACCTCTGAGCATGAGAGCAGCTGCTCACAGCACAGCAGATCTGGTTGAATTTTTTCCTCTCCCCTGAACAAACTCCAGAGCATTTTGGTTTCCATTTAACATTCCCCAGTCCTTCTGCATCTCTGAGCTCACTCTTGGTTTCCTCAGCATCATTGACAAGCGTTTTAGTTTCTTCCCGTCAGAGAATGGAATAGGCAATGTCACGTCAGTGATGTTAAGAATCAACACGGATGAATACACGAGCAGAGCAGAGCGCAGCACGGCAGCATTTGCATAGCAGTGTTTGTACATCTGCAGAGATGTTTGCAACCCACATTTACTATTCACACTTTACTGATGACAAAGTCAATGTCCATTCCCAACACATGGAGAAAAACAAGGGCTGACGTGCTCTGTTCTCATCATCGTGCTGGTCAGAGTTAGGAGGTGGCAGCAAGCAGGAAAGCAATATTCTAAAATGGAAATGTTTCTAGAAAAACAGGCAGAGATTTCACTTCACTCCTGGAAATTGAATCAACTGCCAAATAGTTTCTATTTAATGCTAAGGGAAGGAGAAAGGAAAAAAAAATAAAACCATTTTGAAGATGCTTGAGTACGTATTGAGTCCTCAAAGCTCCCGCTAACTTGAATGCCCACAGGCTTACAGTGCTGCTGAAAATCGGATCCTTCTAACTGTTCAAATCTTAACCTTCATGGCTGGCACACAGGGACTCAATCCTTCGCTGCTTCTCACCAGATCTCAGCAAAACTCCTCACATCTCCTCCTGCATGCTGCCATTCCTTCCCAGCTGCTCTTTGCCACATGGGTGTCCTCGGCTTTGCCACAGAGACGCTGCACACCTCCTGTTGCCTGCACTTACCAGTGGGGTGCAACACATCTCTTGGCCTCAGGGCTTTATCAGCATAGCACAAAAGAGCAGAAGATGAGAATGAACTTGTCCACAGCCACTCTCATAGATGGTGAGCAGGAAGATCTGCTGGTCCAGCCCATGAGAAGCACAACCTCCTTATTACCGAACAATTGATTTCCCCATTGCTGCGTTTGGAAAAGCCATGAATTAAGGCAAGTTGCTAAGGAGAAGGAATAATTACATGTAAATCTCAATACAAGTTAAGTATGGGTTGGAGGTTCAAATGTTTTCTCAGAGTCTGACACCACTGTTGCAGCAGAAACAAACGCAGAGCCCAGCAGGAGCACCACTACCAGCTCAGCTTCAGGCGCAACGAGAAGCATCTGCCCCAGCACAGAAATCCACCAAGGACACACAGCACAGAATGCACTCATTGCACAGACAGAGCTGCTGTGCCCCCGGTTTCTGCTCAACTTTGCTGCGCAACGTTTCAGAGGCAAACATGCATGAGCAGAAAAAAGCTGTTGGATGAGTAAAAGCGTGCCCATGGCAAATGGAAAACTGGAATGATTAAGAGAGTGACAAAGTTCCAGACTGAAAAGCGGGGCCTTAATGTAACCCACTCAGCATGGAGCCCAGGTCAGGGCTCGGGGGCTCAGCCGGTGAAATTTCTCACTTCTGAGACATCCTGAAGCAAAAACTGCAACACAATGGGTCCTTGCTCCTCCAACAGGGCAGGACATGGGGTTGCTGCATTTCCAGTGGCTTTCCAGCCACGTTAGTGTGGTTTCTTCTTCTATACTGGCTCTGCAATCCCAGCTTGAGCCCACCTCTCCTAAGCACTGGGACCCTGCCCACCCCTGGCCATGTCCCCCACTCCCCAGCCCAGCTTGCAGTGGGGCTCACAGCCAACTCTGAAAGAGCAAAAAAGAGACTCATTTCAGGTGTTCAACAAACTGCCCCATAGATGTACACACAGAATGTTGTCTCATTAGGGGCCTGATTGACATCCCACTGAACACCATGCAAAGCTCCCATCAGATGTAGCAGTGCTCTGTGGGGGTGGAAAATGTACCCTGCTACTTCAAGTACAGCAGTAGTGCATTTCATTTGATCTTCTAGTAGTATATAGCAACATACATGCAAGGGATGACGTAACAGTGGGAGGTGCACCATGTAATATGAACATAGGTTGACACATGTATCTGTGTAATTAATTAGAAGTTTTAAAAGATAACGTTCTCTGCAAATGTTACAGACTGAAAAGCCCAAGATCTGCAGAAAACCATTTAACAACTGCACACATTCTGACTGGCAAGCTCTTACAAGCAAATGTGTACTCTTCTGAGTCCTATATGTAAGCCAAGGAGACCACAGAAAGCCCTTTCCTGTCAGCTACTTCGATTTCAAAGCTGGGATGGCATCTCTCCCAGCAGACTGTGCACAGACTTCCCAGCAGTGCCAACAACTTGGGCCGGAAGGTGGGATTCTTAGGGCAGAAACTCACACATTGTGCAGGGGAGGAATCCACCCCTTACTGCCTCTTAACAGCACGTCTTGGCATACAGCCCCTGGGTGTAAAAATGATTTTTAATAGGAAATACGGGGGTTTAACTGAGTCCTGGTTAATAAAAATATTTCCTTTCAGGGAAAAATGTGACTGATTTTGGGAAGGGGAGGAAAGAATCCTCCGAAGCCTGGAAACAGCAAATAAATGCAGCTCAGGAGAATGAGACCAGAAGGGGAAACCAAGAGTGTGAAACCCCCAAACTGCAGTCCCACAGGGCAACGCTTCTGTTACCACACTGAACATTTCCCCATTAGAACTTTTTTTTCTTTGCTTTTTGCATGTTTTATCTCTTTACGTGCAAATTTTTAGATTTTTTTTTTCTTTTTTTTCTTTTCTGGAGGAGAAACTCACCCCAACTCATTGGACCTGCACAGCCATCAGTGCATCGCAGTTCAGCGAATCCAACTCTCTCCTATCAGCCCTCAGGGCCTGCTTCCCTCCTCACCTTTCCTCCTCCTTCCCCCCCCCCTCCCCCCCAGACAACACACAGAGGAGCTGCTCCTTATGCAGGAGGGCTCAACCCCAGCATCATAGCTGAAGAATTAGGGGTGGAAGGGCAGGGCTGCTTCCTAGCAGCCTTTGACAGCCATGCAGTGTAGCACAGTGTTCTGCAGCTCCCACTCTGGCTACAATACCAAATATAATACCAACACCCTAACACAGAAGTAGATTTATTTCCTTGAGCGGTGAAGGTTCTGCTCAGAGGAGGCATGATACGGTCCTTCATTTGTTAGAAACATTTCCTCGCTCCCTTTTGATTCTGCCAGAACTGTGAGACAGTTCTGAAGTTTCTGAAGGCAGATTCTTTTTTTCCAGTCAGAATATGGTTTCATAGAATCATAGAGCGGATTGGGTTGGAAGGGACCTTAAAGATCAGAGTTCCAACCCCTGCCATGGGCCGGGTGCAGGGCAGGGGCAATCCATCCACCAAGTGAGCATACCTGCATGATAAGGCACCGCAGAAACAACACACAGGGGTGAATACAGGGAGGAAAAGTGCCGTGACAATAATTTGCTGGCTGCTCCCACTTTGCTTTGACAGCAGAGTTTCTGCTTTGAGGCAGATATTCAGACAGCAGTTTAATAGACAAGAAGTGGCAGAAATTGCATCAGCAAATGGATAAACGGATCACGGGCAGGCAGAGGGCATTCCTCCACATTCAGATCTGGTTTTCATAAAAACTGCAGACGTGCCCAAACCTTTCCACTATGCTACAAAGTTGTGCAGCTGTCTCTTTCCTCAGCTCCCTCCAGATTCAAATGGAAATCAAATATATGATGGCCTCAGTATGTAATTTTGTGCTACAGTATACCATAGTACAGGCATTGAGGAAATCGGCAGCATCTTTTTGATCTGTTTTCCTTTTAAATCAATGACAAAATTTGCATTTTACAGGACCGGATCAAGCCCGTATACGGGAGCCTTCAAGGATGGTGAGATTCTGGCAAAGAAACTTTGCAGGAGCCATAACTGTATCTCAGGTTAACGGGGCTCCCGGTGAGCTCAGTGCCTGTCCCTCCTCCCAGCCTGCAGGGTTTGCAGTGGCACAGGCTGGAGGTGCTGCGGCACCTGAGGGCGCTGGCACAGAGGAGGGGAAGGAGGAGGTTCCCTCACGTGCTGCCAACCGGCACGACTCAAAAAGCGAGGAGGAAAGGGAGAAATTCGCACAAACCGAAGCTGAGCCATCAAAAGTCTTTAAATGCAAAGGGCAAACGGCACGGATTCCTCAGGACTCCGGCGCTGCTCAAGGTCTCTAACGCGTGCACGGCACGAAGCAGAGCTGAGTACTCACTGTTGGGGTCCACGTTCTCGCAGAGCTCCGTCTTGGCCTCGCCGTTGGGCCTGTCGCTGGGCTTGTGTGAGAGCCGGGACGACATGGTGGCGGCCGTCACCACGGCCTTGAAGCTGCGCTTCCGCTTCTGCACGTTGAGCTCGGGGTGGAAGATGATGATGTACACTTTCGGCATGTAAAGCATCCCCAGGGCCACTGAAGCACTTAGGTTCATGGATATTGTAAGTGTGGTAGTTTGTATGTAGAGCTAGGAGACAGAACACATGAGGCACTGTTACAGATCAGACAGGGCAGCGGGCGCAGCGCTTACAGCAGAACGTGGGCTACAGCCCTGGGCTCACGGCAGCATGGCCCAGCAGGGCTGCTCCGACCCATTGGGCTTCTCAGCATTCACATGGGTGCTCTGGGGCTGTAACACGGCACGCTGACCTTGTTAACCATACAAATTACTCTTCTTTTTAAATCGCTTTTTTAATGAGCTCGACCCAAATCTGCGTGAGCCAAGAACTGTGCTGCAAACTGCTGTGACGTGCAGCAGCCAGCAGCTACTGCAGAACTTCAGTGCCTGCACCAACACAACCCGTCTCACACACTCACAGCTTCCTTCCACTTACAGAACGAAGAACAGATGTGGATTTCAATAAAACTGGTATAAGCTGAAACTTACGTCTACTCTAAGTTATAAAAGAAGAGCATTAAATGCATAATAATATGGGTTAGTAAAAACTTGCCGTAAAAAAAAAAGAAAGGAAGGTTTTTTTAAATTATTTTTAGTATGCTTTAATTCTGTACATTGAAATAACTGTGCAGACAATACACAGTGATTTGTGTGTTCCCAGTGCTCAGCTATGTTTAGTATGAAAAGCTTGTGTATGTGCAAGCTGGAGATCAGCTGCTCTCATGAGATGAGTATTCAAAGGAACACAAGGATTGCCAAGTGTACTCTGCAAACACAGAAAGCAGAAAAGCCTTTCTTTTTTTAATTACCTTTTAGAGGAAACACTTGATAAGTGAACTTTAACTATTATTGTGAGTTAAAAGGCACAGAGACAGCACAATACAGGTGCAAAGGAGCTGAAAGAAGAAGTAAACTCCCTGCAGATCCTGCTCAAAAGGTAAATATATGGTACATCCATTCACGTGCAAAAGGTAATACACACGGTGGGCAATTCCTTCAGAACACTATTTTCTCTTCTCCTGCTATTCAGTGCTAATCAGTTTGCATTTCTGCTGGAAGAGCTCAATAAATAAATACAACGGCACAGGAAAATGCTGACCCTGCTCAGATACTTCCAAAGTTCCGCACTTGGAAAAATATGAATGTTTCTGGACTTGCTGTTATATCTCCATAACTGCTGCTCTCAGACTGATTAAGACAACCACTAGAAGCAATAAGGTGCCTACAGAAAACATAAGAAATGTGCTGTGCACGACGTCTCTCTATACCAAAGCACACAAGCAAAGACTGCAGTGCCTTCTCAACATTTCTGTACCCATTATCAGAAGGGAATGGCACTGATGTGATCAGAATTTTGTCAGTGCTGGAACGTTAGGACAAATCCCATCCCACCCTGTGAAGCAGTGCTGGGCCAAGTCCCACCATGCAGCCACGTCGTGAAAAACACACAGTGATGTTCTGCAACCTCGCTTCCCTGGAGAACATAAGAACCCTTACAGAGAAAGCAGGAATTTGGACCACTGGAGGACAAAATAAAGCTGCTGGCTGAGCACTGCAGCATAACACACCGTGTTCTGCAGGCAAAAACACCACCTCTGTGTTGGACTGCCAACTTTATCCACTCAGCTCCTATTTCTCCTTCGGCCTCTCTGCCAACTGCTCCCTGTAGGAGCTTTGACAAACTGGCCAGCAACGCGACCTGGTGTTGTGTCAGCACAGAGGGAGGAGCAGCAGCTGCCGTACCCACAGTGTGACAGCACTGGAGCCTTCAGAAAGGAGACACGCGGCTGAGCAGGAGCTACTTTGAATAGCACTACACACCAAGAAGGTCTCAAACGGATCCTCAGCAAGAGAAGTATTTGTTACCTTTGCCAGGCACTGTCTGCATCCTGGAGCAGCTGTTTGCTTTGAGATGTGATGCCAACACCTCTTTTTGGGAACAGAACACCATGCTCTGAGAGAAGCACTCTGCCCCGCTCCTTGGGAAGTGCTGCTCAGCCATGGCTGCTGGGCTGTGTGCTCAGCTGTGGGTGCTGGAGCTCAGCAGTGTGGCTGCAGCATCCCTCAGCCATTCCCCATGGGCTGCTCCATGTCTGGGCTCCCAGTGCGACTTCCCCAGTGCTCCCACCCTGCAGGGCTGCTGCCATCGCCATGCGTGCCAGGAGCCTCTTAACCAGGTGCGTGCAGGCACTGAGCACCATTTCCCCATGCTGCTATGGGATGGAAGGTCAGCCTGCTGTGCAGTTATCCCAGCAGTGGGGTCCTCTGCAGCAGTGTGCCAGCAAAGGCTCCTGCCTGGGAATCGCCGATGGGAGATAAAAGGAGAGCAAGAAAAGAGCTTTTGTAGAACAAGGCAGGATGAGTGACACATAATGCTTCTCATGACAAATGGGAGCTTTATAAAGATAAGGGAAACTAAGAGATATGCTTATTATGCAGAACCTTAGTTTTATGTATTTTATCTCTGCTTTGCGTCTTTACCAGTCAAACATAAAAATGCAGTTTACATGAAACTATTTCATTTCTTATTTCGCTTCTTCTGATAAATTCTCTGAAAGCATTTTAGATGAATGCAAATTGGTGATTTAAAATACAAAGAATGAGATTTAACCAACAATGCAGGTCTGATAACTCATACGTACCTTTTATAGATGGTGAGTGAAACCCGGTTTCCAAACTGGAGATGAAATTAAGAAATTAAGAAGCAGATTCAGCAAGGGAGGCTCTAACTTGAAGTGAATGAGAACTAGGGCTGAGCTGAGTGCTTCCAGCGGAAACCAAAGCTTCCTAAAGTGGCGCTTTTGGTCTGCAAGCCCAATTTCACCGAGGTTTGAAGCTACATTTGCTGCACCATGAGGACAAAGCCACCCGGGGGTCGCTCACTCGCGTCCTTCCCAGGCAGGCTCTCATTTCTGATGGATTCTAACCTGGTGTTAAACACACTGCCATTACAGCTACCAGTGCATCAGACTTTGAAGCGCTGCACTGGAGAAAAGGAAGCCCTAAGGATATCATTCACATGCAGAGACACCTAGCTCTTATCATCTATTTTACATAAAGGATTCCCATTTGAATTTTAGATTTCGGTATTTTGCAGATTCTTGCTCTATTCATGCAAATGATGAAAATTACCCTAAAAACCTTGAAAGAAAATCAGACTGGTCTCAAAAATACGCATCTAAGAACCAACAATTTATATAGTGCAAAAAATATCAGTGGACAATTTTGTATGAGTGAGAATGGATCTCAGAAGCAAAGCACCACAGGACTAGGCCTGTCAGTCTGCACTAATGCAGTGCAGGTTTGCATTGCTGGGCCATGATCACTGAACTGATAGCAGCATTCCTTAGAAAAGACTTTTTAGCAGTTGGCAGTACTTTTTGTAGGCTAATTCTTTGCATGCATAGTCTAATCAGGAGCAAGAGTTCCTTTTATCTAACTCAGCATTGTAATTAAGCAGTGAACGGTGTTATTTTGCAATATGGAAATAAATGGGTAACTTCAGATATTTCTGGGCTTGTGTTATCACAAACCAATTTATCTCACTTTTATATAGGAATTAAAACAAACGTTCTTACATAAGAAGTAGGCAGTTTATAAATCCCCCGGAAGACTTCCAGGTCTTGTGAAGATTTCAGCTCATCCCTTACATTACGTTACACAGACATAAGGACAAGAAACATTTCTTAATAAAAACCAGGATTAGCTCCCACTGCATGACGTGTCTGCAAAAATACGGGAAGCAAAAAGACTTGAATGCAAATGTTCTCAGACATTTTAGTGCCTAACGCCCCTTTCTGCACCAAAGGCAGCAGGGCATTTTAAAGGCAAATTAAACGAAGCTGAGATGCTTTTTACTCACTGGAAGTTTTGTTCTTTGCATAGAAAGAACCAGTGTCCTCTCCCTCCTGATGAGCTGTGGCCGTTTGCACCTCACCCAGCAGTCAGGACCGAGGGCAGACGTCACTGCAGAGAAACAACGGTGGCAGAGAACCCCTAAAACCGTGTTGGTGCAGGAGAGCACCACTGGCAGCCCCAGCTCCCTGGTGGGACTGATGGATGAGCGCCTCAGGGAAAGGCAGCCCCTCCAGGCAGACACGGGCACACGGCAGCTCAGCTGCAGACACCGCACTGCGCTGCACGCTGGTGACTTGCAGGACTCTGCCTCCATTCCCATCCCTTTGAGCATCATAACCTGCTGAAGCTGTCGTTTAGCAGTGCCCTTTAGAGAACAGAGCAGCTTGAAAAAAGCCCCACCCAATCTCTTTTCCCAGATTAGAAGGCTTTAGCAGCGCTCAGGGCAAGCGGTTTGCCCTCCTTTCAGGCTAACATCATTTTGAGGGGAAAGAAAAAAAAGCCACAACAGCAACAAAGCCTTGTGGGCAGCAGGTTCTGGCATCCCCCGGTGACTTTCCAGGAGGATCGCTTTTTCAACAAAAGTGGCAAATATCTGTCATGGATGCAGGGAGCAGAGATTGGCCATTGCAGGGGGGATCGGACAGATGAGATGGGGACCACACCGTGTGCCCTCCACTGCAGCCTTCTGCTCCTAATGCTATTAGCACAATCCACACCATGCCAGCAGCTCATCATACTTTGTTGCCTTTGATTATTTTGTCAGTGGGACACATGCACAGCCCAATGCTCTGTACGTGTGACAACACCAGGCACTGTGACACCAAGCCATGCAGTGCTGTAAGCTGCCTGGGCTCAATACCACTGGCTGAGCACCACACGGCCAGCAGCACAGCCACAGTACTGGGTGGGAGCTCACTGAACGTACTCTTGTCCCATTCACTTTTCAACCTGTCATTTCCATTGCTCAGCAACCGCACCTTTTGATCCCTGTTGTGAAGATTCAACTCTTCCTTTGTTTTACAGAATTTCACAACTTCATGAACCCAACTGATTACAACGCTGTTGACCATTAGAGGAAAACTAACTTACCCTTATTTGAGCAGGAAGGACACTAGGTGGTGTTGGAAAGAGAGGCCAACAGCTGCACCCATTCGTGCACACAGCACAGAGAAGCCCTTCTGCTCTATGAGCATCAGTGGAGCTTCAGCACC